AATACGTTGGCCTACTTCGCGGATTTTTTTAGAAGATCTGTTGCAAACTTCGAAATTCCGTAAGTTTTTTTTGAAGTTCGGCGATCCCACACCCACACTACACACAACGGAGGTACTCAAAGCGTACGTATTTATGCACTAGACACAAAACAACATTCAGGCAAAGTTTGTTTCGAGTGATGAGCGACACCCTAACATGCTATTGAGACTAGTGCCTGTAGGGCTGTGCCGCTTTTAAAAATGGGTGTGGACTCTACGAAGAAGGCGGAGCTCCTCACTGGAGCAACCCCGAGTACACAGCGAACATGTCGAAAAAGAATTGAAATTTTGCAAGGAGACGCAAAGTGGACGCGAGAGGCGGAGCTTAGTGTGTTAGTGCATAAATGCGCGTCTATAGGTACCTCCATTCTGTGAAGTGTAGATGTGAAACTGACGAAGTTGAAAAAGTTCCGAAAATAAAAGTTTGCAACGAACCCTTTGAAAAGTGCGAGATGTCGGCCGATGTGTCCAAACCCACTTTTCAGTCAGTGTGTATGTGCGAAGTAGCGAAAGTCAAAAGATTCATAGAAGAGAATGGTTAAAATGAAATTCCAAAATATGATCGCATAAAGTAGGCGCGCTGTCGGGGCGGGGCTTGCGAGATTTGCAAGATTTAATTCAGTTGTCTAAAAAATGTTGTGAATTCGATCTGAAGATTGGTGGTTTCGGTTTGGAAAGTGGTTATTTTGGTTGAAGAGTGATAAATCCTAAAGTGAAAATGGAATATATACCAACGGGTACAGCATTGTGATGTGTGGAACAGTGGTGTCAGTACGACCCCGCCCTTCCGAAACGAGGCCACGGTACGAACCCCCCCCCCTCCCGGAACTAACTGTTGCATCTAGCGAGAAGGGTGGATACGTGACGATTCGCCTGCTCGCCGGCGGAGGGAGGCTATTGACTAATTTACATACTTCTTGATGGTGCTTCTTACGTTTTGGTGTTCTTCAAGCCCACAAGCGAAGTAGGCAACATGAGTCAACGTTATTCAACAGTAAGGATCACTAACCTGTAACTGCCAAATGTCATCGAATTTTAGGCCGAAGATAAGTGGTGGATCGTTG